CAATTGTTCTGTAAGGCGTTTATCATGACTAATAAAGTTTCTACATTGGCAATATAAAAAAAAAAAAAAAAAAAAAACAACAATATCATATATATGACTTTTAATTTACACTATGTGAAAAATTGTATCATACTGAATATATGTATTTGAATTTTATGATATATTTTTGATAATTTATAATAAAAATATTAAAAACATAGTTGTTGAATTTTCTGAATATAACCCCTAAAAAATTTGATTTACAATATATATAATATAATTTTTCAAAGGCTAAAGCTTCAAACTTACAGTATACTGGTTTCTGGTTACTAGTATAATAAAATTATATAATTTGTATTAGTGATACAAATTGCTAAAAATTTTGCAATTAATTAGTTATCAACTTTTCAATTATTTGATTTTTATTCAATTTTAATATAAGTTGACAAAAATTTTTCAATCAATTAGTTGTGATTTTTGATTGTAATACTAATTTTTATTTTTTATTTTTTGGTATTAAAATAACCTTATTAGCCTGGAGAACTTTTTATTAGAGTAAAATGGTGTTAATAATAGAATTACAACAATGGTATATCAAGCCACATATGCACTTTTGGTGCCTAATTTAAATAGTCTGCCCAAAAAAGTATTAGTACTATACTAAGAGTTTTACACTATCTGCTATACTTGCACCTAACTATGAGGTTATCTATTTAAACTATCTGGTTATAATTACTATTACCTACTCTCTAACCCAGAGTATTTTTCATCATATACTAATAGATTTTGGTATCTATCCAATTGGATTTTACATTCTATCTTAGGACTTACTAATTTAAACTAGTTTATCCTTGAGATAAACCTAATAGAGTAGTACATGTCCTACATATATATTTATTTGTATGTTCTTATAACTTCTTTCTAATTAGTACATATTAACCTGCTATTCTGTATTCATATCTCATACTACCTTTTAGAATGCTATCATTTTATAAACGTTTCTCAAACACTAATTTTCTTAACTAAATGGCTATTATATACTCTTTGCTTTTATTCAGTTCACAACAACCCGATACTTATATTTGAACTGTTTTCTTACTCAAATTCTATTTCTAGTTGGCAACCCAAAAGGGTAGCTTGCTCAGGTTTTAGATGCCTGAAAGACGTTCCTCTTGGTCTATACTTTTGAAACGTATATTTTTTTTCTCCATTGTGACAATCCAGCAGTTTGGCTAGTATATCCTCTATCATTTTTAGGATCTGGTCACTCGGTTCTCTGATCTTGGGCCCTAGTTCGAATTCAGCTCTCTTGTAGTACTATTGAAGATTACTATTATCTTCAAATTTAGAACTTCTTAAATGAGTTTTTAATGATACAGTAATATCTCTCTAAGTGCACCCTCCCTAAGTGCACACCCTCTTTAAATGTACACTATAGCCCGGTCCCAAGCTCGGGACTTAGTGCTAATTGCACACCTCTATGTTCTGCACGTGCATAGGTTTTTACTGCCCGGACCTATACGTGCACCCCCTATAAGTGCACTTATATGATTAAGAACCAATAAAATTCAAGATTATATCTCATTGATGGACAGGTAATTTGATGTCATAGAAGGATCATCTTTCTTAAATATGGATTACAACTTTTCGACTCAATGCTTTATTCAAAGTGCCAATATTTACCTTGTAAGTCGAAACAAGAAGTTTCTATTGTATAATCTAGCAATGCTGGGAAGAAGTTTACTTAAACGCATTTAATCACTAATTTTAACACACTAGACATATACGTTTATAAAGGCTCTTTGAGATATTTATACAATTTTTATTTTTTTATTTTATGCAAAATAATCTAACAATATTCTTTCAAGTTCTATTTTCTAATTTTTCGGGTTTTTCAAATCAAAGGCCGTTGAATTATTTATTGAAAAATTACAATAGCAATAAACAAGAAAAAAAATAGTTTCCATTTACAAAGAAAACATTAAAATAACTATTTTTTTATTATTCCGTAAAATAGTCATTAATCTTACTTTGCTGTTGCCGGTTCATTTTTTTTTTTTTAAGAAATTTTTCAATTTTTTTAACTGTCTTAACATACTCATTTGCTTCATCTTGTTGAAGCAAAAACATAGACACAGTCTCCAAGCTTGTAATTGCTATATCGATACTAATTAAAGGGATTTCAATGCTGTTATCATCTTCCGAATCATCACAAGCTAAATCGACTGGCTTGAAAGTTTTTATAAGTTCTTCAATAACTTGGTTATTCGTGGGAATTTCGTAAACAACATCTTCTGCAGGGATAGAAAGAAACTCTTCAACTGGCATTGGGTTATCAAAGTGAATACAGAGGTCTTCAAGTGCATTGGTAAGATCATCAAGTGCCGGATCCATAGTCTGACCGTAATGCTATATAATTCAGCATTAGTATTAATAGAGAGGATATTTGTATGACACTAGCAGTTGCAAATTGTTTCAGCAGCGACTTCATCCCAGCCTTGAATGATGAAATGTATAGCTTGCAATATATCCATTTTTAGTCCATCAGCACGTTCACTCTTTTCTACATGCTTTAATATCCAGCTTAAAAAAAAAAAATATATATATATGTAAATCTTATTTGCAAAAACAGTTATAATCTTACCGAATATAAGGACGATGGTAGTGTCTCTTGAAGCTCATTATGATTCCAGCGTCCAGTGGTTGGATTCTGGAGATTGCTCTCGAAGGAAGAAATACAATATCAGTGAATTGTAAGGTAAGGCCATCTAATTTATAGCTTGAACAATTATCGAGAACCAATAGCACATGTTGACCCTGATATTTTAAACTGATTTGATAATCGAACTCTTGAAGCCATGTTTGAAAAAGGGAAGTAATCATCCATGCCTTGGCACTGTTTTTATACATAACAGCTAAATTTTTAAAATTAATATTTTTAAAACAGCGTGGTTTGGCATATTTGCCAATTACAAAAGTGACCATTTTATGAGAGCCGTTAGCATTTGTGCATAATGCAATTGAAAGACGTTCTTTATCTACTTTGCGCCCAGAAAGACATTGAGTTGCTAATGATCGATCGGGTTCTAACCTATAAAGTAAGTTTTAATAATTAATATACATTTTCAAAGGAAAATAGAATCATTGATTATTTAAATAAATAATTAATGCCATGTATATGATTCTTAATCGTGCACATTAATGCGCATTTATTTTATCCTATCTAAATTTTATTTCTGAAAATTATATTATATGTATTTTATACAACATGCGCATAAATGCGCATGTTATTGGAAAATGCACATTTTTCCATTACTAGACACTATATCCTTTTTTTTTTTTTTTGCAGCACGCAAATGTATTAATAAAGCTTATACTTAAAAAAAAGCCCTGTCTCATCCATGTTATAGATTCTTTCGATAGGATAGTTGGAACATTTGTTTCTTAGAGCAGGTAAGGCATTAATAATAGCTACTTCATCTGCTGACTCTGCTTCCCCTTCAAGTTTACATTGACGAATATTGTTTCGATCTTTAAACTTATCAAGTCAACCATGAGAAAAGTTCAACGCACCCTCAGGAATTCCCAAGCCATTGGCAAATAGTTTGGCTTTTTTGACAAGTATTGCATTACTTAAAATCGTTTTATTTTGATAAATTAGCACAAATTCTTTTAGAGCTTGGTCAAGTTCTGGGTATGTTACCGCTCTATGATGCTTGGCATTTGAATTAATAATTTGAGAACTAATTTGTTCATCTTTTTTTAAAAAAATACGTGAAATTGTGCTTTCATCAACTCTAATACCCCATTGTTGTTCTATCTAATCAACATACTGGGATCGAGTCAATTTATTGTCACAAGCATATATACAAAGTTTGCGTTTTTAGGAATCTGTAAGGGTAGTTCTTTTGAGCATTTTACAAGATTATACTGCAAAATTTACGATTAATAAAATTATCCCTTTATATAAATATATTACTTTTAAGATTTAAGAATCTACAACTAGAACCAAGGTTCTGGCTGTGCTAACCGCAGATCATTTAATGAGGCTATGCCTTTAGAAGTATTATTTGAATAATGTGGCTTTATTTAAAACAAGTCATCACTTGATTGTAATTTTAAATTATCATAACTTTGAACCATGGCTTTGAATTGAATTTAATTTAAGCTTAGCTTTAAGCCATGGATGAGAGCTACGCTTTTAACTTGAAGCCATGGATTAAGGCTATGCTTTTGACTAAATCTGGTTGGTTTCAAGTTGTGGCTTTTGCCTAAACTGCTTTCAACATTCGTTTTAGTAAATATGTTTGTGTAA